ATGCAATTGTGAATGGAATTGTTTTCCTGATTTCTCTTTTTATTGGTTCATTGTTAGTGTATAGGAAAGCTACAGATTTCTGTGTGTTAATTTTGTATCCTGCAACTTTGCTGTATTCCGATATCAGTTCTAGTCCTGAGTTCTTTTGACACAATCCAAATAGTCTTTGATAGTTTTTTTTGCTTTCTGTTATGACAAGATGTTTCAGGTTTATATTGTACATTTCCTGCCCCAGACTGGAATCAGCCAGTTCCTAAAGGAGTCCTGGTCACATAGCCACCCTCTGCCTAGCAAATACCAAAATTCATCTTAAAAAAGGAGAGCAAGTGTTCATCATAACATTGTTTACTAGTTCTAGGCACAGTGAGCCATTTTTATCAAGGAATGATGGGAACCCTCCTGAAATCTCAAATCACAGATGCCAGCCAAGGGCCCTCCTTACAAGCAGGCCTTTTTATTGTAAGAATAGTAGTCTCATGCCTGCTGTGTTAACTCTTTTCTGCACAGATGCCTATTAGACATTGTGTGGCGATGAGGAGTAAGTATAAAGTTGGATAAGCAGTCAAAAGTTCAGAGGAGAGGTTGTGATAGAGATATACATGTGGTAATCATTAGCATGCAGAAGGTACTTAGAGCCCTGAGACTGAGTAAAATCACTTAGGGATTGAGATTTAAGTACTGGGCCCTTGAGCAAGAGGTTGAGATGACGGGGTGCTAGAACAAAGAGACTGAGAAGGAGCACCTGGTGAGGTGGTATGAGGTGGAAGGAGAATCAGCAGGGTGTAGCATCCCTAAAGTCAAATAAACAGTGTTTCAAGAAGGAAGGAGTGATCAGTGATGTCTGCCTAGGCCAAGTAGCTGAAAGTGGAGTGTTAACTGATGGCAATGGCAGTAACTGGAGCCCTTGAACTATGCTGTTTCAGTGGAGTGGTTTGATTCAAAGGGTTGAGTGAAGTGGGTTTAAGGGAGAATAGGAGGAGAGGAAGTATGGACAATTCTTCCAAGGAATTCTGCTGTACAGGGGAGCAGAAAATGGCACAATAGGTGGAGGGCTATAGGAGGTGAAGAATAACAGCATGAGAAAAAATAACAGCATGTTTGTATGTTAATGGAGATGCTCCAGTACAGAGAGAAAAACCAATGACACAGGAGAGATGTGAGTATTGTTGGAGCCTGAGTAGAAAAGAGGGAGTAAGACCTAATGTCTGTGTAAGGAAGAAATGGCCTTGCATAGAATTATGGACAGTTCATCCATAGTAATAGGAAGGTTGGCACAGTACAATGGGCACAAGAGAGGTGGTTGGTAGATATGTTGTTGAGAGCTTGTAAAGGGAAGTGTTAGCATGGTCACCAGCTGCCCATGAGTACAGGGGAGGAGATGCTGGAGATATAGAGTGTGAATGGATAGGGAAAGATAGGATTGCTAGGTACTGCCCTGAGGCCACTGGTAATAAACTTAAAATGAGACTAGTTTTCAGCTGATTGTGTATTCTGTTTTCTAGTTACTTCCAGCCATTGGGCTATTGGTGCTGAGTAAGCAACAAACCAGTGTTTGAGTTTAGCTGGGCCAGATACCTTGGTGAGGAAAGCCGTAGAATTAGAGATGTGTGATAGGGAGTGATTACAATAATGGACCGCAGACGCCAATCAAGCTGGTTGAGGAGAGAGGTGAAGAACGAGGCTCTGAAAATTTAGTACAATCAGTGTGTTCATTGTGGGTCCCACATGGTCCAAGTGTTGGTGTTGTGCATTTAGAGGGAGTTGAAAGATAGGAGAAGGTAGTCAGAGAGCTGAAGGCTTAAAATTGAAATTAAGGAAGGGTGTGCAGTTGTTGGTCACAGTAGGGTGTATGATTATGAGAATGGAAAACTGAGGTGAGGTGAAGAAAATCAATGGAGAAGAGGAAGTCAAGCAAACAAGAGGCCAGGGTATTGGAAGGACCATCCACATTGATATTGAAATCACAGGACTTATAATAGGATAGGTTATTAGGTTTAGAAGAAGTGACAATGAGCAAATCTTCAAGGAATGGTTAAGAGTGACAGGATTATAGCTGCTATTTTGTCGCTTGTCGCTCCTTTCCCATATACTTCCATACTTCCTGTACTTCCAGATGGACTTCTAATGATTCGCAATCTTCTTACTTTTTTATAAAGGATCCTTTGGTCAAATAAAAAATCTCTAGCTATACCATGGGTCTTTCATAACTACCTTTAACAGATGCTATTTCTTTTTTTAAATGCACTTGGCCGCAATGCATTCTTCCCATAGTAGCATTCCTCTCCAGGAAATTATCATTTCCTGGTTGTAGTTCATAGTATGTATTACATTATTTTTAAACTACTAGTTTACAGTCACTGTTTTTCTCTCGTTTTTGTTTTTTTAAAAGCAGACTAAGGTTCCTTAGGCCCGGAACCTTATCTATCTTTTTGTCCCTGGAGCAGTGTAAAAGTTTCCACCAAACTAGGAATAGATCTATTTATTTTACCTATTTTGAAAGTCAGTTATCAAGTAAATAGTGATATGATTCTTAATTTTTAAACTCAGAAAATATGAAGCTTACTTAGATTTACTTTATTAAGTGCCACAGTTAATGAAAAAAATTTTAATTATAGTTTCTTTTATCCATATATTATAGAATGACTATTCTTAAGTTATTTGTATTTTAGAGAATATTTAAAAATATAGAAGCAATTGTTGACCATGTTAGCAAATTGAAGTAAAATAGATGATATGTGACTTGTACATTTTGAAGAGAGCCTTAGTTTTTTACTTTCCTTCCCTCCCAGTTTGAGCCTTCTATTTTGATCTTGGGAATTGAGTTCAGCATTGAAGGAAGGAGATACCAAACTTACTGAAATAATCTGTGGAGTGAAGAAAACAGGAAATTTAAAGATGACTATAAAACAATTAAACAAATGCCTTTCCCCCTTTTTTTATTAAATTGTTATTTAAATGCTATTAAACATTATTTGATGTTAGTTAAGTATACTTAACTTTATTTTCCTTAAAGAAGAGTCTTTTTAAACAATACCTCACTATTTTGAGTCTTTACGTGAAGATTTCTTATAGATATTTTGATTTCTCCTTATGATTTCTTATATATTTATGAAATTTATGATTAAATGGAGTACCAATGTAAATCAACTCTATTAATTGTAGTTTTGATTCATAATTTATATTACATTTGATTTTGGTATATTATTAAGTTAGTATATAAAAATCTACTGACAAGGTATCACTTTACACCAGTTAGGATAGCCACTATCCAAAAGATAAGAAATAACAAATGCTGTTGAGGATGTGGAGAAATGGGAACCCTCCTACATTGTTGGTGAATATGTAAGTTGGTGCAACTGTTGTGGAAAGCAGTATGGAGGTTCCTCAAGTAACTAAAAATAGAAGTACCATTTGATCCAGTAATTCCACTCCTAGGAATTTACCTGAAGAAAACAAGATCCCTGATTCTAAAAGACATATGCACCCCTACATTTACTGCTGTGCTATTTGCAATAGCCAAGATATAGAAGCAACCTAAGTGTCCATCAATAGATGAATGAATAAAGAAGATGTGGTACATACCTAGTATGGAAAATTATTCATCCATAAAAAGAAAAGAAATCCTCCTATTTGCAAATGTGGATAGATCTAGAGGGTATTATGCTCAGTGAAATAAGCCAGGTGGAGAAAGACAAATACCATATGATTTCACTTATTTGTGGAGTATAAAAACAAAGCAAAACTGAAGGAACAAAATAGTAGGAGACTCACAGACACTGAGAAAGGACTAGTGGTTACCAAGGGGGAGGAGCTGGAGAGGGATGGAGGAAGGGGGGGAAGAGAATTAGCAGGCACAATAATTCACAATCACAATACAGGTTGGTCACAGGAATGGTAGTACAATAGGGAGAATATAGTTAATGGTTCTGTAACATCTTAACTACGTTGATAGTGACCGCACTAAAGGGGATGAGGATTTAGTAATATGGGTAACTGTTGAACCATTGTGTTGTATATTTGAAACCAACATAGACTGTATATCGGTTATACTTTAATAAAAAAAAATCTGACAAAATCCTCATTTTAGATTTTTCATTTTTTTCAGAAGTAATGAGTGGAGGATCTCAAGTCCACATTTTTTTGGGTGCTCCATGTGGCCCATTGAAAATGACAGTGTCGCAGGAACCAACTTCTTTAATGACCCCTGCTGACCCTTGGAAAAAAATTCAGCTTTTATACAAACAACATTCTTTATATCTGGAGGATGACAAATGCAACCACAAAAATCTTGAAGACTATCAAGTCCTAGAAGCTGTTGGCCCTTCAGATCTTCAGAATGGTCATTTTTTAGCAAACTCTGTGAATAGAGATGACTTTATACATCGTATGTCTACAAAATCCCAGAAGAGTCTCCCTTTTGGGATGAGTGAAATGACTAACACTGATGTGCAAGTAGGTGGACTTAAGGGGAGAGTTCAGCATTTAACTGAAGAAGAAAAGTACCAAAAGCTTTTCAGTGAAAATAAGAAAATGATAGATGAGCAGCGTAAAGATCTGTCAAATATATGTGATCAAAACTTTGGAAAAGTACCCTCTCAGTTAGTTCGTAAGTGTGCAGCTACATTGGATTTTGGTTGTAGTACTGAGCAGGTTAACATAGGGCCAGGAGCTGTTGAAACAAAGTGTCTATCAACAGAACACCGTGAAACAGAAAACCAGTGTCTGAAGTGCCTTTCTTCTAGCACAGTAGTGATGCCAAGATGTGGATCACTTACGAAGGTCTCAGACCTTGAAATATCTACTGATACTGAATTTCTCAATATAATGACCTCTAGCCAGGTTGCTTTTTTAGCTCAAAGGAATTATAAAGAGCAAAATTCCATGAATGTAGGGACTATAAACATGGAGACTGAGCCAAAGGCACATCATAGGGAAATAAGAATACCTGACAATGATGTGATTCACCCTAATGATGATTTTGCAGAAAGAAATGAAAGCAGACAAAACCAACCACATTCCCTTGAACTCTTTAGTCCTATTTGTCTTGAAACAAAAAGTAGCCAAATTCACATAAACTCTGATAAAGGTGTTGAAGAAAAGACAGGATCTCAAGAACTTTTTGATTTTGAAGATAAACTGCCACCAAATGAAATATGTATTGAGTCATTTAGCTCAGGAATACTGTGTTCCCAACTAAGTACCTTCCACAAAGGTTCTATTAAGAGAAGTTGGACTTCTGAAGGTAAATCGGGCCATTCTAAAGCCTTATCTAAAGTCCTCCAACTGTCTAAGAAAGTGAAGTTAGCTTCTAATGCAAGAAATCCTACTGTAGCAATGGACCAGAGGAATTTGTCTGAATTTAAGGGTGTTAAAAAAACATCATTGATAAAAAATTGTAATTCTAAAAGTCAGAAGTACAATTGTTTAGTCATAGTGTTATCGCCATGTCATGTGAAAGAAATAAACATAAAATCTGGGCCAAATTCTGGCTCTAAAGTGCCTTTAGCAACAATTGTGGTAACTGATCAGTCAGAAGTGAAGAAGAAGGTTTCCCTGTGGAGGACTACAGCATTTTGGGCACTTACGGTGTTTCTCGGAGATATAATTTTACTTACAGGTAAGGCCATCATTGGTATAGTGGTAGTTTATTTTATAAAACTGTAGGCTTTTTTCCCCCCTCCCACTTTCAGCCTTTCAGGACTCTTTCTTTACCATTTACTTTCTACTCCAGTAAGACTGATCCCTTCCTAGCATCCGCATTGGTCTCCTTACCATTACTTCATGTCCTGTGTGTTGCTTTCTGGGCCTTTGTTCTAGAATCTTCGTTCCGTCCCTTCTTTCCACTCATCTTCTTGAGAAGCTTTCCTTGGTTCCTTCTCTTACTCTTTCACTCTACTAGCATTCAGGTCATATCATAAGCTCTTTGTTTTCTTAGAAAGAAACCTCTTATGGCTTTGTCTACATATGTCTTCTTTGTAACCCTTTTTTTTCTTCAAGTGGAGTAGCAGTTTTAGGGTGAAAGGGCAGAGTTTCCACTGCTTTACTTAATCCCTAATAATGCTGTGCATATTACACTTCTATTGGAGGAACAGGGAATTTCTATTGCATTTTTAAATTATTAAAATTATATTAATCACACTTGGAAATACGGAAAGGAAAAACTTATACTGTCATACCAACCTTGCATAACAACCAGGAGAGTTTTGGAATGTTATCCTCCCAGTTCCCCTTACAATGTGTGTACATACATATATAACAGCAGATATTCATTGGGAACTTACTCTGTGTCAGACAGACCCTGTTTTACGCTTTCCATGTAAGTCAACTCATTACAACAACTATATGAGGCAGGTACTGATTATTATCCCCATTTTTCAGCTGGGGGAAACTGAGACCCAGAGAAGTAAAGTAACTTGCCCAACACCACACATCTAGGAAATGGCAAACCCAGGACTTCACCTAGACTCCAGAACCCATGCTCTTATTGTAATCATAAAGAACAGAACAGTTTTTACCCTGCTTTTTTGCGGGCACAGAAATCTAATATTGTGTTACATGTTCTTTATTGATTTAAAATCAGTGCACAGTGTATTAGACCAGAGATACCAGTTATTTTAAGGATAAATCCCAGACCAGGAGAAAGTTAAGTTTAATAACATAGCTAAAAAAGAATGTAATAGAAAAGAGGTGTAGGTCAGTTTTAAAAGCTTAGAAAAAATATATCAAGGCAGTGATGATTCCTACCAAATGGTTTGCTGAGGAATGAGAACCTCAGCTTATATACCCTGGTATTTGTGTAAGATTGCCAGGGGCAGTCTCTAATGCAGAGACAAACATGAGATTGTCACTAACAGGCAGAGCATAGTCTCACCTCACTGGCAATATCATTTTATTTGTTGGCAAGTCAGTTCATCTAACTCCCTCTATTCCGATTCAGTGCCCACTGCATATCCCTTTATTTATGATTTGGCTTCCCAGGTGTAAAACTGCCTGGAAGATGAGAGTAGGCTGCAAGTGTTGTTTCTTTGACAGTTAATGCCTCATTGCAAATAAAAAAAAACACTGTGTTCTGGTTTTTTTGTTTGTCTCATTAACTTATTTAATGTGACGTTATGTTGCAGAATGAAATCTATTTTTGGAGTGCTGACAAAATCAGGTTTCCCAGACTCTAATGAGAGGCCTGGGCCCTGGACCTTACCTTACCAAGGCAGTTCCTGCAGTGAGCCTCACAGGAGGCCGTTTCCAAACAGATGGGGACTCAACCCTGCTATCTGTATTTTTTCCTAGTGGCCATACAGTTGTTAACAACTAGGTAACATTCTAGTAAGTAATTTTACCACTATTTACTAACCATTTTCCTATTATAGGATATTTAGATTATTTCTTTGGTTACTTTTTTAAAAATACCAGTTTTTATTTCTTGTTTTGTCTTACTTCCTTAGAGGAAAAATATCTAGTTCACCAATGTCTGGATAAGTCATTTTTGTTTGTGTGAAACTGACGGAAACTTCATGGAATAAAGAGAAATCTGTACTTTTCCATTGTTCCCATTAGTAGTGAAATTATATTTGCATAGAAACTTATGAGTGAAATCCCATTTTAATTAATAGTATCCAATTGTACATTATCATACCTCCATGTTGACTATCTCATACTACCTACTGATACACACCCTAAAATGGAAACATTTTATGTAACACGATTGGCATTTTGCTGTTCCGCAATAGAATGAAGAGATGCTCTAAGGATTGTTTAAGGGAGACCATGGATTAGAGTGAAGAAAGGAAGGTGAACTTAACTGTGGGAAACCAATGTTTAAAGAGCTAACAGAAGAGGAGCCAGGATATATCAGTGAGAGGGCTGTTGAGGGTTTTTGAAGAGAGCCAACAGATGTCATTAATGTTCTTGATAAAACACTCATTAGCATTGTGGGACATGGACTGGAGGTGGTAAGGGGATCTGGGAGGAGAGAGGAATGTGTAAGATGGGGGCAGGGCCAACAGGTGGGGACTTGGGAAAAAAAGTGGGAAAGGAGAGGTAGATGTTCAGGATTTTAATTTACCTGGCTAGCAGCACAGTGCCAACAAATGAGATGGGTCATTTGAGAAGAGAGGAAGTTTGAACAATGCTGAGTTTGGGGAACCAATAGAATATACAGTCAGGAATGTCCATTATGCTGTTGAGGATAAATGTGGGTAAATGGGTTAGAAGCTGAAGAGGGCCTGGGATGTAATTTTGGAAGTAGTTACTTAGAATTTATGCATTCTTGTTTTTCTTTCTCATTTTGAAATTATTTTGTTGCTCTTATCTTTATATTGCTACCATTTTATACACTGATGATACCCTGCTCGGATCGACCTCTCTCTGCCTCTGTCTTTTACACTTTTTGCCCTTCTTAAAATTGTTTCTACCTGTTGATATGTTTAGTTTCACTAAATGATTATCCATCTTACATCATACAGCTCTCTTTTTCCTATTGGAAAGTGTTCCTTACCTCCAAAGTCTTTCATTTTTAACATTTGTAGAAGATGGTTACCATGCTATTAAAAAAAAATCAAAGTCCTTTAAGAATGCCTTGTATTATATTCATATATGTTTAGAGCAGAAAGGGTAAATGCATACTGAATATTATTTACTCTTTTAGACACTACTGCTTTGGAACCACTGCTTTGCTTTGTGGCCCTAAATGATTTACTTTTCATTTATCAGAAACACACATTATAACATTTGCCTTATAACAGTGAGCTTCCATATCGGTATTGTTTGAATATACAGAACCCATTTTGTTATTTTACCTACATACAGACATACCTAAATTCAGATTATGGATTTGCTACTTATCATTTTGTGCCTTTAGGTAGACAATTTAATATATTTGAACTTCAGTTGTCTGGCATGTGAGAGGCATGCATAACATTTTTTGCTATGATTGGTAAGTTAACCACAGTGTGAGGGAACTTCTGAGATGATGAGAACTTTTTTCCCCCTTTCTAGATGTTACTGTTCATGAAGATCATTGGGTTGGTGAGACAGTACTACAATCAACATATACCAGTCATTTATTAAATCTTGGGAGTTATTCATCTGTCAAACCTGAAGAATGTAAGGTGCATTTTAAATACAATAATTTCTTAGTATTTAAAGTATATAACATATTAGAAAAAAGCAGAGTTAAAATGGTAATTTTATAAAAATGTTGTCTAAACAGGTTAGCTGGAGAGTTTTGTTTTACTTTAGTAACAATGAAAATAGAATTTATGAAAAATGAACATGCGCACTATATATAACTTATTTGAAGAAATATTTGATTCATGTCTCATTTACTTATTTTTCTCAGAGAAGCAGTATAGTGGTGATTCTTAACCTTTTAGGGAGTCTTCATCCCCATTTCTGGCACAGAGCTCCTAAAACCCTTGGACTTTCCCAAGTAATAAAATCAATAAAGGTATCTTGAATTCAAAATCAACCCCATTCAATCATACTGAGTTTATGTTAATGAGGTCACTTTTGGAAAGCACTTAAGGATGGGGTCTGGTTGCCATGGGAACCAATAATGTGGTAGGATTGGAACTTTCAGTGCCCATCCCCCATTAAATGACAAAAAAAGTATCAGTAACTCCTGTAAAATGGATTTATTGCAAATGTGCTGATCAAATGCTATAAAGCTAGAATTTATTAACAACAACCAAAAATGTTCCTTTTTCTGGAAATTTTGAAACCTATTAAATTCTGGGTGAAGGGGAAATAGAAACTGATATTATAGAATTTTTAAGAAATTAAAATGAAAACACTGTATGTCAGAATCTATGGGATGCAGTTAAGGTACTTATCAGAGAAAAATTTATTAACTAAATACTTTTTATCAATAAAAATGAAAGAATAAAATATATGAATTATTTAATGGAAAAACATTAGAGCCATTTCCACTAAAATCAGGAACAAGATAAGGATGCTCACTATTTCTGCTACTCTTTATCATTATGCTGGAGTTATTAATCAGTGCAATTAGACAAGAAGAGGCATCTGAATAGGTGAAGAAGAATGAAAACTATATGTGCAAATGCTCTGATAATGTATCTTGGAAACCTAGGAGATCAAGGATAAAACCAATTCAAACAATAAAAGAATTTACTAGTGTAACAGTATACAAAAGCTAATGTTAAAAAAAATCAATAGGCTTCATATACACAAACATTAACCAGAGGGCATAATGGTTGAGAAAAACTATTTACAATAGCGATAAAGAAGATACTTCAGAATAAATTTAATAAGAAATATGCAAATCTCTATGAGGAAAAAATTTCCTCATAGAGAAAACATTCCAGAAAGAAATAAAGACATGAGCAAATGGAAAGGCAGCATTCCCTATTCTTGGATAGGATGACTCAACATGATAATGGTATCAGTTCCCCATAAGTTAATTTATAAATTCAGTGCAGTCTCATTAAAAAGATCAGCAAACTATGCTATGGCATATACAACATGATTCTAACATTCATATGGGAAAACAAACATGCAAGGAGAGCTAGGTATATTCCTAAAAATTGAGCGACAAGGGATCTGATGGGAAAATGGGAAAAGACATGAGAAATTCAAATTAAAATTACACATATCATTTTTGGTAAAAACTAAAAACATGACAACACATCCTATTGGTGAGGTGGTGGGAAAACAGACTGTCTTATGTATTGCTGGTGGGAATGCAAATTGCTACAACCCATTTGGAGGGATATTGGGTAACACCTAACAAATTTACAATGTGCTTAGGTTTCAACCAAGCAAGCCTATTTTAGGAATTGATCCTGAAGACACAACTACAATATGAAAATACATATGCACAAGATTATTCACTGAAGTATTGTTTATAATTGCACAACACAGCAGGATGGTTGATTAAATTATGGTACGGCCACACATTGGAATACTATGGAGTGATAAAAAAAGAATGAAAAAGAGTACTATAAACTGATATGAAGTGATTTCCAAAACATACTGTTATGTGAAAAATGCAAAGGTCAAAAAAGAACACATAGTATGGTGACTGCCTACACCTGGGGAACAGAGCAGACTGCATGGAAAAGGGTAAAGTACCAAAGCTGTGATCCAGCAGGACCCAAGTCCTTCCCCTACCCAAGCTCACCAGCAGGAAGAAGAGAAACGAAGCATGGAGTGGGTGGAGGCCTAGTACTGCTGAACACCCAGCCCTGGAGATATGCTCTGGGAGCATGAACCTACATTACATGGTGCTCTGGAGACTTTGGGGGTTGGAAAGCTAAGACTTTAGAAAGACTTAGAGACTACTTGGAGAGACAGATTCTAGCCACTTGTGGAGAACAGGTACCCACAACCAGCTGCTCTGGGACAAAAGAAAGGCAGGCAGTCTGAGAGACTTTCTAATAGTGAGAGGGCGGCTAAAGGGGCAAGGATTGCAGAGAACTTGCTGCTCAGGAGAAAGGGGAGGTAGACAAAATTGTCCAGGCATACTCAGCCCAGCAGGTTGTGAAGTTTCAGGAGCTTCATGTGCCCCATCCCCCTGGCTGGCAACGCAGCTACGAGACCCCCACCACAATACGCAGTCTACTGTTTGTTCCTCCCAGCTGGCATCTGCTTGCAAACTGGCTTCCCCCACCATTGCGCCATGCCAGCCAGAAGGTGGCCCCACCTAAAGCAGCTATGCATGACATAGAGGCTCCTCCCTGTGCACTTGGCCCACTGGCCCTGGCAGTGGAGGCAGGCACTGCAGCCGGGAAGCAGGAAAGAGCTTTTTCCTCCCCGTAGGCACCAGCGCTGCTCGCCTGCAACCCCTGCCATCACTCCAGGGGCTGAGCAGCTCCAGAAAGTAGAGCTTCTGGTCACTAGAGGGCTCCACCTACAAAAATGAAATGTCAAAGGAACCTGGTACAAACCAAAATCCCACAAACATGAGAAAGAGGGCTAAGTGAAACAGAACTCAACCAATCTTCCTGAAAGAGATTTCAAAATAAAAATCATAAACGTGCGCATGGAGCTACAGAAAAATATTCAAGACATCAGGGAGGAATTAAAAAATGAGATACAAACTGAAAAATACAATATCTGAAATGAAACATAAAATGGAGGGATTTAAAATATTAGAGAAGTGGAGGATACAGTAAATGAAATAGAAATTAGAGAAGAGCACAAGAAGCTGAGGCACACAGAGAAAAAAGGATCTCTAAGAATGAAAGAATATTGAGAGAACTGTGTGACAAATCCAAATGTAACAATATCCACATTATAGGGGTACCAGAAGAAGAAGAGAAGGTAAAAGGCATAAAAAGTGTTTTTGAAGAGGTAATTGCTGAAAACTTCTCCAATATGTGGAAGGAAATAGTCTCTCAGGCCATGGAGGTGCACAGATCTCCCAATACAAGGGAAGCTAAGGGACACAACACCAAGACAAATAGTAATTGAAATGGCAAAGATCAATGTTAAGGACAGACTATTAAAAGCAGCCAGAGAGAGAAAAAACATCACATACAAAGGAAAACCCATCAGGCTATCAGATTTCTCAACAGAAGCCATACAGACCAGAAGGGAGTGGCATGATATAGTTAATGCAATGAAACAGAAGGGCCTTGAACCAAGAATACTCTACCTGGAAAGGTTATCATTTAAATTTGAAGGTGGGATTAAACAATTTCCATATAAGCAAAAGTCAAGAGAATTTACCTCCCACAAACCATCTCTGCCGTATATTTTGGAGGGACCGCTATAGATGGAAGTGTTCCTAAGGTTGAATAGCTGTCACCAGAGGTAATAAAACCACAGTAAAGAAAGTAGAACAGCTAATTACTATGCAAATGCAAAATTAAATTAACTATCCCCAAAGTCAATCAAGGGATAGACAGAGTACAGAATATCATACCTAATATATAAAGAATGGAGGAGGAAGAAAAAAAGAACCTTTAGATTGTGTTTGTAATAGCATACTCAGTGAGTTAAGTTAGACTCTTAGATAGTAAGGAAGTTAACCTTGAACCTTTGGTAACCACGAATCTAAAGCCTGCAATGGCATTAACTACATACTTATCAATAATCACTTCAAATGTAAATGGAATGAATGCACCAATCAAAAGACATAAAGTCACTGAATGGATAAAAAGTGATATTCGTCTGTATGCTGCCTACAAGAGACTCACTTTAAACCCAAAGACATACACAGACTAAAAGTGAAGGGATGAAAAAAGATATTTCATGTAACTAATAGGGAGAAAAAAGCAGGAGTTGCATTACTTGTATCAGACAAAATAAACTTCAGAACAAGGAAAGTCACAGGAGACAAAGACGGACATTACATAATGTAAAGGGTCAATCCAACAAGAAGATATAGCCATTATGAATATCTGTGCACCCAACACAGGAGCACCTACAAATGTGAAACAAATCCTAACAGAATTAAAAGAGGAAATAGAATGCAATGCATTCATTCCAGGAGACTTCAACACTCCACTCACTCTGAAGGACAGATCAAACAGACAGAAAATAATTAAGGAGATAGAGGCGCTGAACAACACTTTAGAACAGATGGACCTAACAGACATATACAGAACTCTACACCCAAAAGCAGCAGAACACACATTCTTCTCAAGTGCATATGAAACATTTTCAAGAATAGATCATATACTAGGCCACAAAAAGAGCCTCGGTAAATTCAAGAAGATTGAAATTGTACTGACCAGTTTCTCAGACCACAAAGGTATGAAACTAGAAATAAATTACTCAAACAAAATGGAGGCATCACAACATGCTCCTAAATAACCATGGATCAATGACCAAATAAAAACAGAGATCAAGCAATATATGGAGACAACTGACAACAATAATTCAACACCGCAAAATCTGTGGGATGCAGTGAAGACCATGCTAAGAGGAAACTATATTGCAATACAGGCCTACCTCAGGAAAGAAGAACAATCCCATATGATCAGTCTCAACTCACAATTAACAAAACTAGAAAAAGAAGAACAAATGAGGCCCTAAGTCAGTAGAAGAAGGAACATAATAAAGATTAGAGCATAAATAAATAAAATCGAGAAGAATAAAACAATAGAAAGAATCAATGAAAGCAAGACCTGGTTCTT